AAACACAAAATGGGCTAATTATAGTCTGAAATCAAATATTGAAGTTGGATTTCCAAATTTTTAGTGTGCAGCTGTTCATTCTGGCTCTAGAAGAGAACAGGAATTGCAGTCTGCAGCAGAAGGAAGCTTGCTGTGCAGAGGATCCAATACTGTATCCTTTGTGATCCCAACTGGAAAGGACATTGTAAAAATAATGCAAGATGGATTCAGCTAGATTTACTGGCATATATTTGTGGTGCTCATCAGCTTTTTCTCTTTAGCCCTCCTCTTTCTTCTTCCCTTTGCCTTAGTTTTTGTCTCCCACAGTATTTTGTGAATATGTATTATAGGTCATCTACTTGAGTAATTGTCAGTGTGGTTAACCCTTTCACTTTGTTACACTCTAAAGTGCATTATCAAATCATTTTCAGACCTAAAGCATTCTGTAGTCGTCTTCTGTGGAATCTTGTTATTTATTAAAATTTTTTAATGCTATAGAATTAGGTTAACCTTCTGGTTTCGTGATTTTAGGTTCATGCCTGCATCTAGAATAGAGCTTGAGACTTGCAATTCGGAAAAGTTTCAGTTATATTGGAATCAGTCACTGTGTTTATAAGATGCCATTGGCACATGTGGCATCACTTCTCATCAGACTAATGGGGTCTAGATAGTGCTTGGAGCAACATCACCACCCCCAATTCTCAATGCTCAGCAAACAGACATCTCTCTTCTCAACAAAAGACAATACAGTGATCTCGTAGCTTATCAATGTGAGACTGAAGTTCTGGCTTAATTCTTCAAGAAACTTCCTGTGTCATTTTGGTCAACTCCTTTGTTTTTCCGTTCCTCAGGTCTCCATTAGAAAAATGTCTATAACAATTTTCCATATCTGCAAGTATAAGAAAGTTGTTCACTTTTGATCATGAAGTGTTTAGATATCATGGTAAAAGGGTCCTGAGACCCTGTAAAGAGAAGAAACACCACAAGGACTCCACTTTTGTGTGTCCTTCCTTAATTTCTTTCTCAGTTACGTTCTTTAGCCTATTTAGAACAATCAGTTGAAACCCAAAGATTTCCCTGCTTTCCTCATGGCGACCATGAAAAATATGAGATTGTTAATTTTCATGCATCTTAGTAAAGTTAAGACAACATTTTAAAAAACAAAACAAAACTAACCGCATTATTAGATAATTTTGAAGAATTGTAAATCAGAGTACCAACCAGCATTAACTCCACGATACGCATTATTTTCTTCTAAGTTCCATCTGGTTTTTGTAAAAATAACTTATGAAGGTTCTAAATAGATTTTTGTTTTGCTTTGTAGGTGGTGGACTGTGCTTGGGACGAACTAGTCAAGATCTATACTCCGTCATGTCTAGCAGTTCCTGTTAGAGAAAAAGTGAAGATCTGACACACCAGGAACCTCGCTCTTCCTCTACAACCAGACTTGTGCTGAAGTGTCAGCTGTGTCACTAATCTTAGTGTCTCTTTAAGTAAAACTGCTTGAACGGAGCGTTGTGTGCTTAAGCATGTGGAGATTTTAGGGCTTGGTTTACAGTACAGGTAGTACTTGAGCCAGCAAAACGTTCAACAGCTACTGAGTGGCCGTAGCAGGTACGAGCTGGTATCTTTAGAGTAGAATCACCAACACAATATTATGACCTGTCTGGCTAATGACAAGAGCAGAGGCCTGAGTCTTCTTGATCCTTACAAAGAGTAAAAGTAACTGGCAGTGTATTTTGAGACATTGTCACTGTAGAAAAGACAAGACAAAAGCGGCTTTTCACTGTAATGTCAACTGAGGTTTGTACCACTTGACTGCATTTATATTTATATGTTTTGCTGTGACTCGCATTGCATTATTTTCTTGTGCAATATGACGAATACTCCTGGTAGACAGTAAATGTCATAGTTTATAGCCAGCTGATTCATTTGACCTTTTTGATAGCCGCTTCACAAAGATGGTAAAGATTATTTTCATACATTTTTTCTGTTAGATCTCCTTGAGTAAAACAGTTGATGAAGTCATGCAGAAAGATACTCTGATGTTAGAGAAAACGCTTAGGAAAAAATGAAATATATACAACACTAACTGTATCACAGTCCTCAAGATTTGGAGATAGGACAACCATCTCTTCTACTAGACTTGTCTTCTATTTTCACTTAAAGTTTTTCCAAGAGATAGAAGAAGAATGTGGCCATATATTCAGTGTTTCTGGACCTCTGACAGCCTGGCCAAAGTGAGAACTGATGTCCAGACCAGTTGAACCTGCATACATGCAGATTAACTGCATGACATAAGCATAGCAGATCCAGTGTGGCCAAGCTATTATACTGAAAAAAATATGCGCAACATTTTATAGGTATGTTGAGTACTTCACATGCCCGCTTTCACTCCTCAGCCCACATGCTGGTATTTTCATCTGAGTTTTTCTGGGGCAAGTAGAGATGTTCAGTTTTTGTGCTTCTCTAGTCTCCTTTAAATACTCTTTCAGGATCCAACTGTGATACTCCTGCAGTTCTCATTGGTATGTGTTAGGCTTCTCCCCTGGTTTCCTGCTCCCTTTTTTTTTTTTTTTTTTTTTTAACCTTAAAGCTGTCTCCCTTCTGCTGTTACCCCATATCAACAATCTGTATCATAAAAAGACTCTTTGCAAGTCGGGGTCTTTGCAGATCTTTGGTCGGGTTTTCATAGTCTCCTGCTAATGAATGCTGTACACTTCGGGGTTGCACCACTCATATATCAAGCAATAGCAGACACTGCCAGATCTGTTGGATGCTTTGAAGAAATGAAAGAAAGAATTCAGCAGACCTAAGAGCTGCAAGTTGCAAGGAAAGAATCTCCCTATCTTGGAGAAAGAGCCAGGGAACTAGCAGGTAGCCACAGAGAGATAAGCATATATTGATTTGGTGTTAGGGCAAGACAGAAAGAAAACGTCTTCTCCAACATGAGAGTTTGGATCCTGATAGGATCTTATCTTTTTCTCAGTCAGTGCGAACTGACCCAGAATGCCATCTTCTCAAGCTGAATTAATAACAAAAAGTAGATTTTCTTTTTTTGTGATAGTGTGTTGCACCAAATTCCAAATGTTTACTGCACTTCAATTCTGTGTGCTGGGGAATGATGCAACGATAAAGTTGTGCTGCATACAGTTTTCAGTAGTACCATGGGCCATGAAATCTAATTTTAGGCATTAAAATTGATTATTTCAACTTTAATAGTTTCTCTACTCTTCTGCTTTATCGCTGTTTTCTGCTTAGACTACAAGTTACTTGTCTGAGTGAGTGGAACATTTTGGTGGTGGGTATGTATTTTATATGTGTATTTCTGGGGGGATGAAGAGGGGAGGATATTCCAGAATGCTGCCATAGCCTAACAGTTGGAAGGGGAAATTTAGAAAATGTAGCACGGGGGGGAAGGAATTCTGAACATGCACACTCAACACGTGCATTAAACCTTTTAACTGCCTTCTCTCCCTTCATGTCCTGGTTAGCTTCAGTGCTGAGGGTTGCTGCATCCGGATTTAATTCTCTTGAAAAATGAGTGCATCCGGAAGATGCACATAGTAAATAAAAACTGTGGCCTTTAATCTTCCTGCATGATCTTTGAATGGAGAGAACGTGCTGTAACATTTCTGCACTGTAACAGAAAAAACAGTCTGGCAATAGTTGTTGCTGATTCTTAAGTCTCAGGGAATGTTTGCTGTAATTGTTTTAAAGAAATACTTTTTATTTTATGACCATAAAACTAGCTTCTGATCTTTTTTTTGTTTACTGAAACAGACCTTTAATGACAATAATCTTAAAGATGTAATGTGTTCTACTTTTAAACTTGTTCCTGTGGAAGATTTTGTTTTATAGGAGGCCATAGGTTTCTCCTTGATTCAAGAAACATATTGATTAATCATATTCTAAAGGAGTGGATTTGCTGTTCTATAATGCTATTAAATTAATTGCACACAGTATCTTTGGCTACACTCTTGTATTTGCTTCCCCAATTAAGAAACATTGATCAAAAAGTAAATGCAGTGAAAGATACTGGGAGTATCTTTTAAGTAGAATATCATAATCATGGTTTATGTCTTGTATGAATACTGAGTGACAGTCACATTTTTCCTCCGTACTTTTAGAGACCACATTTTGCCTAGCTGTATGTCCCATCAGCTCTGCATTTTGATAAAGGAAAGCTATTTTAAATGATTCTTTGTGTCTGCTTGTGCAGACTGCATGTCAGTGATTAAGTGATCTCTTTCTTCTAGCCAAGTACAGTGCTGGCCTCAAATTTTGCTGCATAGGCATGAGTGTGTTAAGCCTTTCAGTAGTACTGCTCAGTTTTGAATGTGCTCAGGGCCATGTGATGGGGAATGGATACAACTCTGCACAACACTTCCCCTATATGCTTCATGGTTGCATGAGACCCTAATTAAAGCAAATTGTGCGTTAAACATTTTATATAGATCTTTACCATTTTCATCCAAGAAACCATTTTAAAAAAATTATGTCCTTAGGAATTGGACACCAATTTGTTCCATGGTTTTTTGGTTGGTTTTTTTTTCTTTCACCCACGTCATTGTACCTAGGTGAAATGCAGAACTGAGAATAATTTCCATCAAAGTATTAGAGTTAAGTCATCAAAATTATCTCATTACTGTAAGGAACCACAGAGCTATTCATTACAGCTATTCATTATCTGTGCCCTACTGCTAGGACAAAAATCTGTAAGAGTCAACTTAGGAACTGAACACCTAGTGCTGTCTCTGGACACAAGAACAGCTAGTGTGAGGGAAGTACCTTCACTGCAGTGTTACCTCAAATGATGTCTCTCTGTTGCTTTATCCAATTCCTACCCAGTGAAGTGCAGGAGAACTCATGTTTTCTCAGTGTGGAGTGGTGGTGAGGCAGTGGGAGACTAGTACTGGGCCTAGCCTGAAGACATGTTGAGAAAAGGGGTTGGCAAGGGATAGCACCTTCCGCCCCCCTCTCCCTTGCTGTGTATAGACAAGACTAAAATTAGGAGCGCCATGAGAGATGTTGCAAGAGAAGCTGGCCTTGCAACACAGGTGAGTTCCAAGAGATAGGATATGGTACCTGGGACGCAGATGCTCGAGTTCCCAAATTCAGTGTTAGTGCAGCCTCACCTTGAGTACAGTGTGCATTCCTGGGCCCCACAATTTAAGAAGGATGTGAAGGTGCTTGAATGTGTCCAGAGGAGGGCAACCACCAAAGCTGGTGAGAGGGCTGGAAGGAATGTCCTATGAGGAGTGGCTGAGGTCTCTGGGTTTGTCTAGTTTGGAGAAGAGGAGGCTGAGGGGTGACCTCGTTGCTCCCTACAGCTTCCTGAGGAGGGGAAGGGTAGAGGGAGGTGTTGATCTCTTCTCCGTGGGATCCAGTGATAGGACATGTGGGAATGGCTCAAAGCTGTGCCAGGGGAGGTTTAGACTGGACATCAGGAAGCATTTCTTTACCGAGGGTGGTCAAACGCTGGAACAGGCTTCCTAGAGAGGTGGTCGATGCCCCAGGCCTGTCAGTGTTTAAGAGGCGTTTGGACAATGCCTTTAATTAACATGCTTTAACTTTTAGTCAGCCCTGAAGTGTCCCAGCAATTGGACTAGATGATCATTGTAGGTCCTTTCCAACTGAACTATTCTATAATTTTTATCCTTCTGATACACTTGTTTTTCTGTTTCAGTCAGGGAAGCATTTAGCCCCCAATGCAGACTTGCAGCCTGATCCTCTGCAGTGTCAGAGACTCACTTCTCTAGTGATTATTTCACTGGTGAGGGGACAAAATTGTTTCTTCCAGAGGTTACACTTAGGTGTAGTCCCAATTACTACAGTTATTTCCAGAAAGCACGATTAAATTTTTTTCTATCTGCACTTACTTGGCAGAAGGTGGGGTTTTTTTTCTCCCATGTGCAAATACTGTTGCAGTGATCCACACATTCCTTTAAATTGTGCTGTGTGGGGGCTTGGGATAAGTCCAAATGGAGGCTGGTGTAAATGCATTGGCACCAGTTCTTTAGTGGGTTTTGAAGCCAGACCTGGTCTCTAGTAAGTGTAAATGCGAGTTTCAACCTTTATATGCCTTAATATTTCATGTCACTTAACTGCGAGTTTACATTTTATGCTGCAGTGCAGCTGCTGAAGTGGGTGAAGGCCCCTGAGATGGAGCACCCCGTGACACCAGGGAGGTGACCACAACTGACATGTCATTTTGCCTGAAGACTTCTGGGTATCAGTCTGTGCTTTCCTCCCACCCTGAGTTAGCAAAGATTAAACTTCCAAGTGTCCTGATTGCATCCATGGCTTTTGTGACTGAGGTAACCTGGGAAATTCAACCTGGTATTACTCTCACCTTTTAAAAGGAGGCATACGCAGAGTCCTGGGTTGTTTGGGTTTTTTTCAGTGTTTTAATATTTCAATCAGTGGAGTTCTTAATCAATAGAAATATAAGTACTCAAATATTATTAAAACTAAAGATTTGCATGTAAAAAGAAGATGAAAATACAACTGCCTTGGTAAGAACCAGAGAGAGAACAAAAGGGAAAACAAACTGTTGTGGAAGACAATTAGGGAACACTTAAAGTCAAAAAGGAAAAAGCCAATTTAAAATGATAGATATCAGGAGAATCCTCCCATCAATTATGTAAAGATGAAGAAGAGGTGAAGGAGGAAAAGAGAAGCTGCAGTTTTGAGTCTGGTGAGTATATAGTGGTCTTCACAAAGACAAGTCTTGTTCTTGCATTAATATCAGGCTCTGTAATGGGAATGGGGAAAGGAAGGAAGGTGAGAAAATGCCAGGCAAGAAAGAGGGAGTGAGAACAGTAGCTTGATAAAAAAATGAATAAATTGAAGATTGAAAAATAAAAGGCAGGCAAGCTGGAGACAGCCTCTGGTAAGAAAGAATATTTATCCAGGAACCTGTGAAAAAGTAGAAGGAAGCACTGCTCTGTCTGCAGTAGTCACAGGCAGAGTCTACAGCGGCCGCTACCCCCCTGCACAAGCACAGCTGATGGCATTGAAGTGCAAGGTGGGCTTGCACTCAGCTCCTGGCTTCTGGAAGCAGACTGCAGGTTAGATTTCCAAACATCACTTCTGTCTCCATCCACGTGTTTACCCCACAGGCTGAAAAAAAGAAGTTCCTTTAGTTTTTGCTTAGAGAATATTATTTCTCTTGTGGTTTACCTCTGTTGTTTAATTTCAACGGTACCCATGGTTTCCTTTCCCTCATTACCAATTTACATTTTCACTCGTACCTTAATGCGTACCTCTGTTGTTTCATTTTATAAGCATTTGCCCTGCCTCTTTTCCCTGCCTGTACCAGCTCCACTGCTAGTTGTAACCCAAGAAATTTGTCACACGTCCTTTGGAGCGACTGATCCCCATGACCACCAAGAGTCCCTTGCTGCACCCAGCAATAATCCTGGGCATACACGGCTTCTCTTGGTTCAGACCAAGAGCCCAGCGCTGTGGGTCCAGTGTGTTTTCCCTGCCACTCCTCCATACTAGCGTGGTCATTTCGTGCATACTTGCTTGCCCGGCAGCCCTAATGCCTGCCCTGCTCTTGTTGAGAGCTGCTGGCATCAGCACCCTTTCCTGTGATCCTACAGGTCTCACCCCAACACCGAGCTGTGCAAGAGTTTCCAGTGTAATGGTTGGGAAGAAGTACAACTGGCTTTGGAAGCTGGGTATGTCTGGTGAGGTCTATGAACTGAACTGAGACTGAAATGTAGTATTTTTGTGCAGAAATCTCACAGAAAATAGTTGTGCCTTTTTCATACTGCTGAAATGCATGCTGTGCTTGTGCTAAATTCCATGCGAGCCCCCCAGAACTGGCAATCCTTGTCAGGATCTGGTCCACTTTTTTTATGGTACGTCTTCCAAAAACAAGCTTCGGGTGTGAAGCGTGCTATTTTCCCCCAAGCTGGTTCTTTCTAACACTGTTCCTGTGGAGACGGGGGAAGCTGGTTTTGTTGAAAATAAAGAATAACGTTGCTAATCTCAAATCGATGGGTGAAAGGTAGTCTTAGTGCTGATGAGAGAGACCTAACGTGTATGATGTTAAAAGAAGGCTCAAGATTATGAGGCAGCTCCGAATAAAAGTATGGTTTTTAATTCCCTTATGTTGCCTGGCACTGCAGGAGCCTGGTAGAGGACTGGCTGTCCGGGAGAACTGCTTTTGCTTTTCCCTTGGAGTCGAGGTGATCTATTGCGGGCTCCTGCTAAAACTTTCATCTGGCAAGTCGAGAGAAGGGATTAGTTTAAATAAACTTTACCAGGCTTTAAAACATCGCTTTCAAAGGCTCTGTGCGGTTACCAATTTGTAGCGACTTTCCTTGAAAAGTCCCCCTGCTCGAAGCAGGTTCTCCCTGCTTTCTTAGCAGCGGCTCCCGTCTCCCCGCTGTTCCCCGCCAGGGACGGGGCTCCCTTCGGCGAGCGGGGGAGCGGTCGGAACCCCAACGCGAGGAAGCCGGGGGGCTGCAGGAGGGATGCTGCCGGTAGGCTCGATGGATGCTTTTTCCCGGGGGGGGACGCATGTTTTCGGGGAGAGAAAAGCGGTACCGCCCCGCTTGTGCACGCGTGGGGGGGGACTTGCGCTGACCTCCCCGCTGCGGGAGACGTGGGGTTTCCCGCGGGGCTCCCACGTTATTTTCGGGGCGGCCGCGGTTCTGCGGCCGCCCCGCGCTTACCGCCCTGCCTGAAAGCGCAGCGGGGCGCGCTGCCGCCGCCCGCCAGCCCTCCCGAGCCCGGACGGGCTGGGGGACACGCAGGGG